AAAAGGTGTGCTGGATGGCGTCCACCAAGAATTTATAAGGACATTCAATGTTGGGATATTGGAGGGTAGCAAGTGAGAAACCAGTTTTTTAAAAAGGATCCAAGGAAGATTATACTCGGGAGAGAAAGTATACAGTGCTCAGTTCAATGTCTTTTTGGGGAAAGCAAAAATAACCAAGCTCATAGAATAACAAACAAAGAGAAATGACCATAGATTCTGTAATAATATATCCTTCCTGACCACCATTCAGAAATGGGAAAGGAGATGACCATGTCAACATGATATACTAGGACATTCAAATGTTGTCTTTTGGGGTGAAATATCTTGTTATTATATTTGGTGTATACCCCATTAAATTTATATCTGGCTATTATTTCATCAAAATCTTGTCTTATAAACTCTGTAGTTGTATAATGATTAGTACTTCCTTATCTATGTAGCATTTCAACTTGCATTCCTATCCTCAAATTTTAGTCCCAAATATTTATTTATCTGTATGAATCTTGTCTATGAAAACATCTACACCGGTTAGAAATAATAAGGAATACAGTGGGCACTCTTACCTGGTTCCTTTTCTCATTGAACAATTCATGCCAAGTATTTTACTTGTTTTAATTTTTGCTATTTGCCATTGATATATACTAGTGACGGCTAACCTTTTCGATACTGAGTACCGAAACTGGAGTATGCGCGCACATGCCAGAGCACCAGAACCCGGAAGAGAGCAGCTGGCTGGTGCGCATGTGCGTGGCGGCCAGCTGCTCTTCTGGGTTCCATCATGCACATGTACACCAGCCAGCTGTTCTCTTCCAAGCTTGGGGCATGCATGTGCACCGGACAGCTGGTCAAAGACCACCTGGCCGGTACGGATGTGTACGCCAGAACCTGGAAAGGAGCAGCTGGCCAATGCGCATGCGTGACGGACCACCTGGCCAGAACCTAGAAGAGCAGTTGGCTCTGTGTGCCACCTCTGGCACGTGTGCCATAGGTTCACCATCATGTATATTTACCCTCCACCCAAGTTTAAAATTTCTCTTCTGGGTTCATTTTCTTTAAAACTGCTAATAAGAAAGGTTATTCGAAGTAACCGAAGTTTTTTTCATCGTCTAAAATATTACTGCTATATTTTTTGGAACTGTTGATTTCTAATGTATTTACTTTAAAAATCTACTGTCCTCTTTAATTTTCTTCTTCAAATATAACCTATTTAATCTGTTTGATTTATTTCAGAAATATTGTATTCTTCCATTTAATGGAATTATTTTATTTTTCTTTGTTATTGAAATTGGGCTGTGGTGATTCAGAGACTCCCTTTTTACTTAATGGGTAATAAGAAAGTTTGGTGACAGCTTTGAGACCCAGCACATATCAATTCTGGGATGTTTAATGGCTTCCCTAATAAAACATTTAGTCCTTTCTTTTTGAATTTTATAGTCTCCAGACACATATTAAAGCCAGTATGTTTATATATTGAAAGACTTTTGGGAGGAACCTTCCCATATTTTTCTGGAGAAATGAGAAATGCTGGAACTACTTCTTGGATATGCATATGAAAATCACCAGGAGAATTTGCCTTGGTTTTTTAAACTATACCATGCTACATTTTATAGACCCAGTTGTTCCCGCTATCCAAATCATTAAAAAGAATCTGATGATTCATTTTTTTCAAAAACTGAAAGTGGAGACACTTTGTGAATGTTCTCAGACACTAGTTTTTGCTGGTTGATTGACTGTATATCAGAATAGGAAATAAATTTCTTCAGCATTATTTTTGATTGCTTATAAAACTTGCTGGAGTCTCTTTGTTGATAGCGGGGTTAATTAAAAGATTGTAACAGTACAAATGAAACAAACAGGATTGGTAGAAAAAGATACAATGTATCCTAATTCTTAATAGGGTAGCCATAACTTCTGTCAACTCAAGTCCTTACTTGGTTTTGAAATGAACCAAAAGCTCAATGCTTTTGGGGGAGAGATCATTTCAAGATCAAAACATGACCACAAATTTTAGAAAAGCATTTTGTTTTTTGGCTCTTCCTGTTTTCAGGAACCAAAATGGCCGTGCAGAGCCATTAGGAGGTTTTCAGAGTGCTCCTGGGGGCTGGGGAGGACAGAAATGACCAAAAAACTGGCCTTTTTTGCTCAATTTTGCCCCAGCCCCCAGGAGCACTCTATAAGCCTCCTAAAAGCTATGCATGCCCTTTTTGTGACCAAAAACAGATCAATTTTTGCGAAAAATGGGGCATTTTTGCTTGTCTCCCCCCCCCCCCGGAGCACTCTACAAGCCGCCTAAAAGCTATTCAGGCCTTTTTTTTTTTTTTGGAAAAAAAATGAGCCAATTTTTGTGAAAAATGAGCCGTTTTTGGGAAGTCTGCGGAGTGCAAAAACTTTTTTTTAATTTGCCTCTTCAAAATCTTGAAGAGGCAAATAATAATAAAAAAATCTTAGTGCGCCTTATATGCCGGTGTGTCTTATACTCTGAAAAATACGGTAGTGAGGAGGAAGCAAAAGCAAATGATATGCCTTCTCCAAATACAACAGTTGGATAGTGCTGCCAAGCTAACGGTAAAGGTTCCCCTTGCACATATGTGCTAGTTGTTCCCGACTATAGGGGGCAGTGCTCAACTCCGTTTCAAAGCCGAAGAGCCAGCGCTGTCCAAAGACATCTCTGTGGTCATGTGGCCGGCATGACTAAACACCAAAGGCATACAGAACACTGTTACACTTCCCACCAAAGGTGGTTCCTATTTTTCTTCTTGTATTTTTACGTGCTTTCAAACTGCCAGGTTGGCAGAAGCTGAGACAAGTAACGGGAGCTCACTCTGTTATACAGCACTAGGGATTCGAACAGCTGAACTGCTGACTTTCTAATTGAGAAACTCAGCGTCTTAGCCACCACGTCCCCACTATAATATGATATCGCATTATAAAATAACCATCTCAGAATCAAGACTTATAACATATTAAAAAGGCAGTAGAAGAAAAGAAAGAAGTTATAGCTTTTGGAAGTAGGTGAAATAAAGCCATACTATTAACAATCAATGTCTCTGTTACATAAAGTGTTCCATTAACGTTCCAGGGTCACAACGCTCCTAAAGCAGCATAAAGCGAAGCTGTTTCTAAGTATATACTCCTCCCTAGAGAATATTAAAACAAGGACAAGGTATAAAGAAATAGGGTATCATCAAAGATATTAGTAGACCCAAATGTCAGTGTAGTGAATTACTGCTGCGCAAAAAGAAACCATTTCATGGTGGGAGAAATAGAGTGCAATCTTAAGTAGCTTCATGTTTCAGTAAAAGTAATCATTTTCCAAATGTTGGATAGAAATTATTAAAATAGAAGATGTGAGTCCAGCTGTTCAGTTGTAATACCATAAAAATGTATTTTTTTGGCCAAAAGAAGAGATATGTTTGTAATTAGCCTCTCCTCCAGATCCTTTGGCAGTCAAGTAGCCCTTGTGATGTCTCATAATGTGTATTTCTACATCTCAATGGCAGTTCTTTTGGAAAGAAGTGCCGAATGAAGTCAGAAGCATTGGAAAACTATGTTCTCTTACTCAGACAAAAGGACAAACATCTCCCACAGTATTGTACAATGTTTCCAAGATTAAAATAGTGCAATTGTTCAAAAAGCATATACATTGTTATATCGTTTAGAAGTAGAATCTAACTCTCAACAGTTACCACTGTAAGGAGAAAAATCTCATTGCACATAAATTTGAGACAAGAGTTTAGCTTAATTTAGTCACATCTTATCATTAAAATTAAGCCTGCAGTTCCTTTTTATCTGATAGATTCTTACTTTATAAAGTCTTTACCTTTATTTTTGTACTGTAGTATGAAACAATGTTACATTTATGTATATCTTGATTCATGTGATAAATATATTAATGAGAAATACCAAGTTAATCAGAGTTCTAATTAAAATTCAATCAAAAATAATTGTATGAGAAAAACACAGAACCTAAATTGAAATCTACAGATATTTTAAAGACTTCCATCTTCAGTTCAGAAATCTTGCTCTGCTTTTGCCACTATCAAAAACAATAGCAGTCAGTGAGTAGTGAGAGTAAATAGAATAAAAATGCTAGGTCCATTTATCTACAAATAAAAATGTGTGCTAATTATATTCATTAATAGCCATAGAAATAAAAAGGGGGGGTTAAAAATTGCTGTAAATAAACCATGGACCTAAGAAAAGTCACAGAAGAAAGAAATATAACATTACAAATTTGTATACATCACACTAATTCATCAAACTCATAGGATTAAAACTTGACTTTTCAAAATGTGTAGTATGTTGGTTTTAGAAAGTGCAGTTCATTAAAAATCGTAATGTATGAAAGGCTAAGCTAGGGTAACAAAGAGCCAAGGTGGCGCAGTGGTTAAATGCAGCACTGCAGGCTACTGCTAGATCAGCAGTTCAGCGGTTCAAATCCCACCGGCTCAGGGTTGACTCAGCCTTCCTTCCTTCCTACGTGTGTAAAAATAAGACCCACATTGTTGGTGTCAATA